CCAATCACGTGAATCACGAATGCATTCAAACCAAGGTGATGATTGGGCAATTCATCATAGGCTTCATATGTGAATGTGAATGGATCGATTTTTATCAAGTGTGACTCTTTGTCTTCCATGTTTTCTACTGATTGGGATGAAAGCTGACTGGTGATAAGGCATGCTCTTCCGTCTGATGTCTGCTAGTCTCGCGTCAGGAGTTGCGACAGGGGAGGAGCTAGCTGAATTTGCTGGCAAATTACAAATCGCACTCGTGACTGTTAAGATCAACCAACTCGTGTATCGCCAAGGGTTCGTCCATCGACATCGACACGTCCTGCATGGATGGCTTATCGCAGCTCAGCTCTCAATCTCTGCTGAGCCGTCCGAGAAGCGCTTTGGCTGCCTGTCCTGTCCTGCCCAAGCGTCAAACAAGTCCAACATCATGAATTCGGGCGCGCGCATGCCGCGAGGACCCTTAGAGTACAAGCATTGCCCCCCGCACTTCTCGACGCAGCAACATGCATGCAAGACCAGACATTTAGCCCCGCTTCAAGCCGAATCCTCAGAACGTACCTACTGTACATCCGGAAACCGGCAAAGCTTGTGTCTATCTTATGCCAACCTTGTCATGCGGTTGAAATCGGGTTCAAACACACTCTTCTTGATTTGATTCAGATGCTCGAGAAGCTGCGAACCCGTCAGGCCCCGGTGGTGCAAGCCTTTCTACACGTAATAAATCTCGCACCTCGAGCGCTGATGGAACGATGGCTCCTACTCCGACAGGTACGAGTCTTGGTTTTCCCCCTTCTTTGGTGACACGCTGCATTGATTCCTGACTGTGAAAGGCGAGGGCCACCAGACTCTGAAGAAACGCTACCGTGAAAGTGAGCCGAAAAATCAGGGGAAAAAAAAATGCGAAGTTCGGCCTCTGTGCTTCGCTGTTCAAGGTCTGAGCCGGCTCTCTACCTCTCGCTTGCTCTGCAAGTATGCCAAACGCTCATGACAGTGCAGGCTAGGATCAAGCAAGCGCAACGCCTTCATCCTCATGCTCACCCTTAGCGCGAGTCCATGTCCAGCTGGCAAAATGGCGCTGCTCAAACGTTCATCAGGCGAAAGAACGACCAGACGAGCAAGCAAGATGAGATTTGACGCATACTTGTGGCGCGCACACAGTTCGAGCGATGGTCGAGCTAATGTTGATCGCATTCCGAGCAGAGAAGCAAAGATCTCTTCTTCAGCGTGGTCAAGCTGCGCCGATCCATGGGCCAGCGTGCAGAACGAGGCATCACTTGGCCGTG